CTATGGCCAAAGAAGAGGCAGAAGTCGAGGATGCCCATCTCCACCATCGGGAGGAAGCCAAGGGAAGCCAAGTTGCTCGGGTACTGCACCGAGGCCCTTGGCCGAAAACAAGCCTGGAACAGCCAGCTTTGCCAACAGAAGGCCCGCCCCACCGTCTGAAACTGGATCGACTCAAACCACAGGTCCTACCTGGGAGTCAAGGTCAGCATCATCACGCCAATGTAGCGGCGCTTGCCCTCGGAGCGACCAAACCAGGACTCTGCAACAGGAAAGGCGATGCTCTCTACAGGGGCACTGGCCTGCTCCCCCGCCCGAGCCACGACTCAAGCACCTGAAGCGCTGCTTCAGGGGCAGAAGAGCCGAGAAGAGCCAGGGAAGAGGAGCAGGGGAGCTCTGCAGCAGCCTTTGGGATGCCTGCAAGGAGGGAGGGAAGCTAAGCCGGAACACCGGTCCCCCACCTCCCCAATCGACCTCGAGAAGCAACCCCGGTCCAGCCTCTTCTTCCCAGCTGCGCTCACCCCTCTGCTTCTCCTCCTGCTCCAGGAAGGCTCGGAGCCGGTCGGAGGGAATGGCAAAAGAGATCCCAGGCGTGACCTTCATCGTGTTGACGCCGATCACTTCCCCATCCTAAGAGATGAAGGGGGGGTGTCGGGAGGGAAGGGAAGCCCTCTGGTGCAGGAGTCAGTCAGGGGCGCCCACCAAGGCAAAAGAGCCAAGAGCCCTCAACGAAGCACCCATGCATCAGCCCTTCTGGGCCTGCCCAGATGAGGGGGGTGGCGCAGAGCGCAGGATCTTTCCACCTGGGCACTCCAGCTCCCTGGGCGCGGAGGAACCAGCTCCCGGATCTCCCCAAGCCACCTCCAGGCAGAAAACTTACGAGGTTGACGAGGGGGCCCCCGGAGTTCCCAAACTGCAGAGGAGAAGATGGGGTCGGCCAAAGCAGCACCGGCTCAGGCCCGCCTCGCATACGACGCCCCGGGCAGCCCCCGCTCATTCCCCCG